GTCAGAGCCATTTGAGATGAATGCGGGAGTCCGTCAAGGCTTCTTGCTGTCACCAGTGATCTTCATAATGGTTGTGGACTGGATTATGAGAGAGGTAGAGTCAGGGTAAAACAGGTATACAATGGACACTTACATCTCAACTCCATGGCCTGGATTATGCAGATGGCATATGTCTTCTATCTAAGAAACTGCAAGATATGCAAACCAAGACCGACCCTCTGGCACTGGTTGCAGAGAAAACTGGCCTCAGGATGAGCAAAGAAGAGACCAAAGTCATGAGAGCTAACAGCAAACAGTGGGAGAAGATCAAGCTGAAAGATATGGAACTGGAGTATGTCCATAGCCTTACGTATTTAGGAAGTAGCGGATGAAGATGTAAAAGGCAGGATAGGCAAAGCCAGGCAGGCCTTTAATACCTTAAGACCAGTGTGGAACTCAACATCAATATCCATAAAAACCAAGCTACGAATCTTCACCACCAATGTGAAGTCAGTTCTTCTACACAGTTCCGAGACCTGGAGAGTCACAAGATCCATGTCAAACAAGCTGCAAACCTTCACTAATCAATGTCTGAGAAAGATCCTAAAGATAAACTGGCCAGAGAAAATCAGCAACAGGGAACTTTGGGCAAGAACAGAGCAAGAATGTATTCCAGCAGAGATCGCCGGGCGCAAATGGAATTGGATTGGCCACACACTGTGGAAACCAACATCGGATACAACCAGACAGGCCCTAGAATGGGATCCGCAGGGTAAAAGGAAGTTAGGAAGACCAGTGAAAACCTGGAGGAGGTCAGTGGAAGAGAAGCTCAAACAAGCCAACATCACCTGAACTATGGCAAAAAGAACAGCCGTGAACAGAGTCCGCTGGCGCAGCATTGTAACTGCCCTTTGTTGCACCCGGAACGTAATAGCCAAACTAACTAATTAACTAGTCAAGGTGGAATTCTGCTAAGAGTTATACAGCTGCTGAGGGTGAGCTTGCTGTAAGTGGGGTTTTGTGGGCTTATTCTCCGATTTTAACACATCATCTGAGTCACATGCAAGGGGCTCCTGGATGTAACAATCCACGTCCTCCCAACCAGACTTTTCAGCTTTTCGTCGGTAGCAGCAGTGGCCTCTTCCAGTTTTCTGAGGACTTCAGCATTCAGCCTGCACTGAACTTTGTTCCGCGTGTATTTTAACTCCAGCTGAGGATCTTTTTGCTCTGTCAGGCTTATCACTGTGTGGGTGAGATTTCAGTTCATTTTCTAGATGGTGAAGCTGCCCTTTGCTCTTATTATGTGCCTTCAAGAGCTCTTGGGCCCAAGCCAGAGTGTGCTCAGCTTTGGGTTATTCTGGAATGACTCAATGCGAGCGGCGTTTCCCAGAAGGAGACTGAGATTGATGGCAGGAACTCCCCAAGCTTTCAGAATGATCTTCGGTTTGTCGATTCTCCGTGGCATCCAGCTTCTTTCTCGATCATTTTCTGCCAGATTTTTCGAAACTGTGGTTGTGAGGAGGTAATCGCTGAGCTGCTCTGGATTTTGGAGGCATGTTAGCGACAAACAAAGATCTTGAAACTGAGAGTGAGACGTTCTGTTTTAAGCTGTCCTCAGATTCATTGGATTGACTTGTTCAATGTAATGTAATTTGGAATTTGTATTAAAGATTAAAGATTAAAGATTAAAGGAAAAAAGCTGCTGCTCGTATGGCAAGAAACAGAAAACTGAGTCATGAGACCTAGCATGACATGTGATATCCTAACTCGGGCCCAGCCCCCACTTCAGTGTGTGAGAACCTCATTTCTCGCCTTTCACACGCTCAGCCGGCAAGAAACCCATTTCCTATTACTTAAATTGTTGTTCACCAGGCTTCCAAAGCCACCAAAGATCCACTGCGCATGATCGCAATGCATGCCGGGAAGGTTCTCTACAACTCACACGCAGGAAATATGGTGGTCGATACAAGATGTATTTTATCACTCTAAAATGAGTTCTCGCTTTCCAAAGTTTGACAATAGCAACGCTTGGTCAATGGGCCACAACTCACAAGAGGATTGTTTTCTTAGGAAAGAACTGCTCTTGGACTTTGCTGCCTGGATCGATCTGACTTCAAACGCAAATACCTTGATTGTATCAGTTTGTTTGAACATGAGAAAGCACATTTTGGTTCTTTAAAACGTGCCGATGACTTACGGGTTTATCAAGGTTTATGATGCCTCTCAACCACCAGGCAGGCATGCAAGGTATTTTGTAAGAGCACTTAAAAGCTTCATATCTCTTTTCTGTTCAATAGTATTTCCTTTGGCGCTCGGTGCAACTCACGTGTTGTGTTTCACGTCGCAATAACTGATGTAAACAACCTGGTTCCCACTTAATTTCCTATTTTCCTTTGGCTTACTAGAGGAGAGCTAAAAATTGGACAGAGAAAAAAGGCCTAAGATTTGGCATAAGACGGATATGCATACGGCTCTTCAATTGTTTCTGCGCATCCTTACTGCGCAAGCAAATTCACATGCCACGTCATGCATCAAGCACGTGCTAACTAATAAAATGAACAATGACAGGGCAGATGGCCATTGCTATAGCTTTGCCTGGATTTAACAATCTTGGACATTTGGTGACCCCTGTTTTCCTTTTCATGGATCATTTTCTCCACCAATTTTCTAAGTTAAGCGAAAAAATCTTCAGGCGCACCTGTAAGTAAGAAAAAATTAATATAGGAGGAAGACCCAAAAGTGCCATTTAATTTACAGAAATTTTCTGCGGTATGGGCAATAAAGAAATTAACCAATTTCCTTAATGCATCTTTTGCTATAGTTATTTAGCACAGACATACTTTAGTTACCAACTATAGCAATTCAAAAAAAATACAAACACATACACTGCCATTTAGAAATTTAGCAAATAAGTTAAGATTAATTTTAATATTTGACTGTTTTATCCTTTGTATATTTTTGTCCTTTTTGATCTGTTGACTAGGGGCACTTGAAGAGTTATTAGGCACAAAAAATATGTTTTGTTGCAATTTGTTGAAGGTCTAACCCTATCATAGGTGGACTACCAAGGAAGTACTGCTTCTCATCTAATCACCTTGTTGGGCAAGGTCAGTACTTGGATGCATGATCAAAAAATAATACCCCCGTATTATGAGTTTCTCATTTTCTCTTTTTGTTCTTCATATTCCATGCCAGTATCTGTGAGTTTCCTCCACTTGCATTTATTTTCTGATGGCTTCTTCATCTTTGGCTTGGCCTATTTAATTGCCTAATTTGACATGGGAGAGTTCATATGCTCCATTGATATAAAGGTTGTATATCTTTAATAAGATCTAAAAACTGATCTTCAGTTAGTGCATGTATTTACAATCTGTAGGTTCAAGGCTAAATTGCAGGTGTGGGCTTTGAATGGTGCCAAACAATGCAGAATAGGAGTATAATGCTGGGTATGCCTATAATACACTTGGGCATTGTCTAAAGCCTACTCTACCCATGCAAAAAGTAATGTCAATCAGATTTCCGCACGATATTATTATTTTGAGTTATTTTCAAGCTTGTGCCATTCCCTTGGGATATGCACACTTATGTGTGGAAACTCACAGGAAACAAACCCAAAATGTGCACTTCACTTGCTGAAAATTGAGATTTGAGATATGAAGGAAAATATTCTTTGGGGCGTTCTTCCGGTGTAATGAGATAATTACACAAAATGTGTGAAAATAATGACACGTTGATTGATAAAGTTAAGGCTCATTTTAGTCTAGTTTTTCATTCTTCTATTTTGAAATAATTCCCATTTTCTCCACCTAATATGGCATAAATTCCCTGAGTATATGAATAAAAAAATTGAAAACAAGGAGATCACCAAAACTTCCATTTTTCAATCCCCCAGTAACTGTTGCTTAAGGTCCATATAGATCCAAATGCTTCTGAATGAAACATCCAAACATATACTCTGAAAAATGCCTAAAAGTGACCAAAATAGGTGTGAAAAGCGTACTTTAACCCATTGACTCCTGGAGCTTTTTGCCAAAAATGCATTTTTTTGGACATTTTGGAGATTTTCAGGCTGGATATGGGCCAAATTAGCTCCAACCTACTCAAAAAGGCATTTGCAACATGACAGCATGCCTTTCTTTCTACTAGCATCTCATTTTATGACATTTTTGCTTGGGCATGCGCAGAAATCAAAATTTTGAGATTGGACGAGAAAGTGACCTACGTTTTTAGGCTTTTCGATTTTTTAATTTTTTTTTTTGGCCTCTGCTTTTTCTCCTTTTCTTTTCTTTTTGCTGCAGTGATTGACCTTCTACTGGGCTTGCTTCCAGTTTAAAACATTCTGAGAAAGCATCGTCGAGACAGGCGATTTTTGCCAAGGAGTAGCCACCTGTAGTGGCAGGGAATTTTGCTCTGAGTTTTTCACTCAACTTTTTGAGCATTTTGTGCATATCTCAGGCTCCATTGGGCCGACCACTCTGATCTGGGTATCACTGGAAAGATCTTTTCCTCCTGCAGAAGTTGAGCATAGATGATGCCAATTTTGGTCAAAGGTAATGACGTCAAAAGTGGAAGAAAGGCCAAGGCTCATCATGGCCGGTTACAGCCAGCACAGGAGTCAATGGGTTAAGCACTATCCTTTATAGTATCTGGGGGATTTAGGGACCTGTATGAGAGACCAGGAGACTTGGTCTGTATCCAAAACTCCCACTGTCACTCTCCAGCTAAAACAATTGAATAATTTTTCCCACTTTTCTCCTCTATGAACAAAAGCCAGTTGCAGTTTATTCTTCTGATGTTGACATCATTATCTTGTTCATGTTGTTATGAATATCAGACAGGATATTGTTCAGTAAATTTATAACCATGATTTTCTCCTCAATGTCATAAAACCAACAGAAAATGTTATGGAGATAGAGTATTCATCACTGTGACAGATACTTTATCAATGTTCATTAACAGAGGAAAGCTGAAAGTGTGCAAAAATAAGAGTGGTACTGTAAACTGGAATTCATGTCACTTACATCTTGTCTCTTGGTCACAATGTTTTTGAAGACACTCTCATCAATCCTAGCATTGTTTCTCTGTTGTTCAAGTTTAAGCCCAAAAAGGGTTCTGGTCTCCACATTGTGAGGTTCAAACGCAGGATCCATCTGGGAAAAAGAACAAGCAAACAAATGAACCCCTAGAGTTCACTCAATAACCCTTGCTGCAGATTAAGAGGTTGAATGGGCTGGAAGTGTACAAGCTGAGGATCTTACCTGTATGCAAGCAAGCTCATACCTGTATGCATAACATGATAATAGTTAAGTATAACCCTCTGGCTGCCACTAAAAATACAAAATGGCAGCTTGATAACATTGAGAAAAGTAGTAAGTCTTTCTTAATTTGGCCTATTCTTGAGAGCAATTTCAACCTTCAAATAGGTAAAGTTTCATTTTCCTCTGAATTTAGTTTTTTTCAATGATCCAAGTTGGTCTGAGTTGATCAAACCCAGAAAAGAGGTCTTGAGTTGATCTGGTCTGACTTTTGTACCAGCCTTTATTTTAAAGCAAAAATGGGACTGCCATCATCCTATGTGAGATCTAGCTAGAACTATCTGTATGATATTTCGCTTTTCACTGCAAAAGTGATATTGATTCACTTCAAAGGAAAGCCAGAAACAGGAACCAGTCTACCGACTGGCCCGTTCATTGTAGATTCCTTACATATAATTGGCCTGCAGTCTTGAAAGTCAAGCTTGTGTTGCTCTAAATTTAAATTTAAGTAAAACTTTTGGAAGTTCTGTGTAAGCTTTCTTGCTTGGGCATCATTTGAAAACATGGAATAATGTTTCGTTTGTACCCTGATGATTTCGTTCAACTCCACTACTCCTGAGTTGGTTACTACTTCAAGGTTAATGGTATTAATTTTTAAGCTGTATTTGCTGTATTTGTAATTGAAAGCAAAAAATGATTACATACTAAGGATGACTGCCCAATCTTATTAGCCCACCGAGGTTATTTTGGGGAGCCATGCACTCTTTTTATTTTCACTTATTTTTTGTTCTTCTAATTTCTAATTTCTAGTTGAGTACAAATAAAGTTGTTGTTGTTCTTGTTGTTGTTACACAAAAAAAGGTTACAGGGATTTGTTAAAAATGTCCGTGACTGGAAGTCCTCCAACAAGTTAAAGCTGAACTCTGATAAGACTGAGTTACTATTGACAGCATTACAATTTTGTGCCAAGCACCAAATTTTACCGCTAAAGGAATCTTGGCTAAAAAAACAGTTTTCTTCCACATCGCAAGTTGGTGTTTGTGCAAAATTGTTTCAGTGATTTGAAGTGAACAATGCTTTGCCTGTTTTGAATGCTGGGCATTTTGCCTCTGCAAAACCCTTTCTGACATCTTTCAAGCTATCTAAGAAACTTTGTCCTCTAATATTGCCTTGTCCTTTGTGTAAGTCCCTTCAAAAGACAACATTGCAGATGCTTCATCTAGGACCCTCTCTTCAATTGATTGCATATGCTTTCTCTTTGCATTTGGAGGAAATTGAAAGTACGTTGGGTCCCTCACTCAGCCGATTTAAAGGCCCTAGATTGTAATGCCCCTGTTTATGCCCAGGGACTCTGCCCTTGTCCTACTCTTTGCCTACCCAGGATTCTGCCAGAATTAATGTCTTCACCCAAACTCCTCTTTCCTTGGATAATGCTTATGTTTAGCCTTGGTTGGAATTGTAGTTCTTTTTTAGCCTCTCAACCTTACCTTTTCTTTCAATAATTTTAATTTACAAAACGCAATTACTACATACATAGCTTACAATGTAGGTCTCATTACAATACTCTACTTACAGAGCAACACTTTTGTTACTTACAATATGAGTTAGTTACGCTGGCAATACAATACTGAATACATTACTTGCACAAAAATACACCGTTGCAATATGGGTCACTTACACTATTAACAATACAATACTCTACTTACAATAAGTCCTTACATTACTTGCTGAACATATAGTTACTTACAGTACTTACAATATGTTATACAAAGTAGCTAGATTACTCACAGTACAATATTCCAGTTGAAATAAAATTCTATCATGTCCTACAAATATGATCAAAAGAATGACGTCCTTACTGCCTAAAAAATATTATTTACAGCTGATAATAAAAGTTATCGTATTAGAAATACATTGCAGGTTGTATAATACTATTTTTCCATTATTTTTTCATTTTTATTTCTTTGTTTGGGGGGGGGTAGGAAATGCCATATATTGACTCTGAGGAGGGGTGCGTACTTCTCAATGAAACATTTAATTAAGACAAATTTTCAAGATAGTATTCAATGAGTAGCTTACTGATAAACTCCTGAATGGAGATGGTCAGACTGTTTGACTTGCTTGAATAAATATAATGGCATTCATTCACTTGGTTGAACCAGTTCAAGACTTTTTGCGTAAACAATTTGGCAAACAAATATCTTTAAAAACACAACATAGCTTTTAAATTTTTGGAACATGTTTCGATGTTTCAAACATCATCATCAGCAGTTATAAACATGTAGATAAAGTTTACAAAATGATCAGTATATATAACTACTCCTATACAATGAAACATTATAAATTCAAATAATTATTCGTTAACTGCTAACTAAGTCATATTTAAACTAATCAATTAAATTAAAGGAACAAACAAAAGCAAAGAGCAAGATATCAACTGTAAAGTACAGCAGATAAATTTAGAAATGTAACGATAAACTAATAAGGTCGCCTTGTTTGTCAATGTCAGGTTTCAACTGTTCAATATACTCTCCCTTATTTTAATTTGAGAATATGTGTTGCCACGATCTAGAATTTTAAAACTAGGAACATCACACTTATCTTGACAATTCTTAGCTGCATTAAGATGTTTAAAAACATGGAAATTCTTGTCCCAAAAAAGATGCTCATTACTATTTAAATGAAAATTAACATTCAAATTAACATTAGGTAAACGTACATAATTTTCAATAAAACAGTGCTCTAATTGAATCTTTATCTCTGCAGTATAGACATTCATCGTCTGCCTTAATACCAAATCTGAATAGTTCTTCCTTGGTCACTATCGTTCTATGGATTAATTTAAATTGAAACTCTTTTAGTTTACTTTCCTTACAAACGTTTTTCAGTGATTTAAAGATCTAAGTCCATTCATTTTTCTTCAATGGAAGTTTTTTGCTCCAACGTCTAGGGCCCGTTTGTTCTTCAGTGTGAATCTTGATGTTCAGCAAAATTGTAAAAGTCCCTTGACTTAACCTTATACAGATTAATTTGGGTTGATTTGTTCAGGAAAAAGATATCATTTCGGGTAAAGAATGATTTGTTGATGGTGTTGGAGCATTTGGCTAGAGACCATAAGCATTTCAGAATAGTGCTAAAAACTTGATAATAATGTAAAAAGTTGGATTCACAGGAATAGTTATCTCGGAACCCGTGGAATGTTAAAAACACAGGCATGCAAGGCATGCAAGAGTTATTTTTTTGTGTGAAGTGTCGGAGATAGGAGCATTCATGGAGCTGTTTACAGTAACGATTTGGTTACTTTGACAAGTTTTTTTGGTTGCGATGTACAGCATGAAACAAACTGGGAATTTATGATGTACATGCGATGTTGCATCAGTCATGGTAAGATAGCTAAATAGCAAGCCATAAAATGCTTGACTGAACAAACTACAGTAGTCTGAAATGTCTCCAGATTAATGTAGATACCATCTTATTTTCTAACAGGCAATTTGATTCATTCTTTGATACAACCNTTAGAAGTCCTTAGATGTAAACCGTTAGACAACCATTAAACCTCTTTAGATGTAGACCATTAGACAACCGTTAAACGGCTCCAGTCATCTGTTAGAACAAATTGCGCAACCATTAGAACGGTTTCTTCATCCGTTAGGCATACTTAGTTAGCCGTTAGAACGTTAAGAGAGAGCGTTAGAACACTTTGATCATCCATTAGGCACACTTAGATAACCGTTAGACCGTTAGGACAAAACGTTAGAATGCTGTGAAGACCGTTAACTATCCGTCCATTAGCGCCCATTTAACGGATAAGCGTTAAGGTACGTTTTCCCGTTCACGGTCACAATTGACAGAGGTGATTATTATGTGCAAAAAAACTCTCGAGTCACGGCACACTGCCAAATTTAATGAAGCGAACAATAATTCTAGACCACTACCAAGACAGTATGCTATTCTTTTAAATAAGTCTCTTTTCCTTATCCAAATTCCTGTTTGTTATCACCACATTAATTATGCATTTTTATTCTTTTATTTTTTCACACTTTTTCTGGAAATATTCGTTCATTCACGTCTTTTTGATCATTCGTCAAAGGCTGTAGGTCGGCAGCCAAAAGCTCCTTTAAACCTAAATTTTCAACCAGAGAATTGTTTTGATATGTTTAACCCTGGTTGCTCGGCCATTTTCGTAATGTTAACTGCTGGAAGGTGCTGGAGACTTTTGCCAGCCACGTTAAGTTAACAAGCTGATGGTTTTTCACTTTATAATAGATGAACTATACCTCAAGAATACAGTATTTCCCTCCTTTTTTCTTTTTCAAAACCTCTAGTGCACTTGGATCAAAACCTGGAGCAATGATACCATCTGAAACCTAAAAGAGATTGCAAATCAATTATTTTGTATGCAAAAAATATTCGGTCCTGAAAATAACTGGGCTTGTATAAAAAAGACTTGGTACTGGGAAAAGAAAATGAAACCATTCATGTTAAATTCAGTATTCTCTTTTGGAACCACCACTTTGGTCAGTTGAAAGGACTGTCAAATAAAAAGCAGCATGTAGTACCTGCATATCAGCTTTGTAATGGGGAGGCAAATTTTTACAGGCTTTACAATTAATGCTGCCCTTCTTTACCGTTGTTTTTAAGCAATGTTCAGCGCTATCTGCATTTTGGGAAAGATAGAGTGTTACGGTAGACAATAATTTCACCAACATTATTTTTACTAGCTAAACTGAAGAAAATAATATGAAAAGTGTGGATGGTGGTCAATACTTTGCATGATTACATTTATTTAGGAAGCAAAGGAAACCTTTGAAGGTGCAAAAGGCTGTTATATGATGTTGTAATGGACATGTCATACCTTTTCAAAAGACATGTTTCTTTCCCATAGTTTCTTTTTAAGCCCTAATTTTTTAGATCAATTACTCAACAAACATATGCTTATTCAACAGTAAGATGCACAAACAGTCCTCCACTGTAATTAAAAATTGTCCCTTATAAAATCAAAGTGGCTATGAGCCACTCAACTTGGAAAATGGATCGTCTGTAAACAGTGAAAATTATGATGCCACTGACTTGAGGTTTTAATCCGTAGGTTAAGTTTAAGTTAACGTTTAAGTCTACTGGCAAAACGCGACATTAAGAGAACACACAAGGAGATGTTATACCACTGAAAACATTCATTAAGTTATTGGTGATCCTTGTCCAAGACAATTACAAGTATATGGCTTCTTGTCCGATCAGAAAAGCCAGTATAATTGGATTCTAATTTTCATTCCTATTTTTTTCATTCTTTGTCACCTTTTGAGAGATCTTAACAATAACAATAACAATAACAATAACAAAGAAACATTATCAACACAGAGTCATAGTACCACACGGACAGCACTGCGTCTCGTCCGCTCAACAAAGTTAAACCCAGTTCAGTGGGGTTCCCACTTGGTGTCTAATGAAGCTCAAACAGCACCCGCATTAGTCTTCTTTAGGAGTTAAATTCAAATTTTCCAACGAGCATCCTAACCTTCTGATATTGGAGTTCCCCTCCAGGATTCCAAATGTCTAACAGGAAGTGACCCAATGAAGGAGTGAAGGAGTGAAGGAGTGAAGGAGTGATGGAGTGAAATCATCCCACCACTACAACTTAGAAAATTTTCCAAGTTAAAAACGACCAAAGGGACAATTTGTCCCTTCAAAACTTGAGGGAGAAATCCCAGAAGGAAGCACACAAGAAGAGATACAGTCCAGTACAGAAATCATAAGCTGAAACATAGGACGTCAAAGGAACTTTACCATGCTTTTCATGCTTAAAAAATTCTCCATCTGGCAAGCCATTACGAGTTGTTGAGTGGCTAGGCTACACATCTAGACAGTACCAAACTGCCCAGGAGAAACTTGACCAGAAACACAGAGGTGAAAAGCGACTTTTGCAACATAACATTGAAGCCATTTTGCATGCGTCGCCTGTCAAGGAGACTTACTTAAAGGGCTAGGTCATGCAATTTTAGGCAATTTCAGCACTAATCAAATGGTCATAGAATTAAATAAAATATCAAAAAAACGGCTCAAAACTATAGAAGATCTCAAACAAAACACAGGAAAGCCAAGAAGGGACATGGATGGACAAAACTGGAGAGGATTAAAATGGGTTGTATTCGGGTAAATTTGAAAAACGTCAGCCCCCCTTTTTACAAATTTATATCAGTTTATATCAAAATGTCATTTACACAGCTGGAAAATCATTCTCCGTTGTTATGTGGCCGTGATTTTGCAAATGAAAGACTCTTGCTCTGCCAATTTGACGTTTAGAGCTCATAATTATTAACAAAATCAAACAAAATTACCTAAAACAGTGTGACCTAGCCCCTTTAAATGAGTTGGATATTTTTGTGGATCGTTTAACTCACGTTATCGTTAAGCTTGAGGATAGCGACCAGCATTAAGAGGTAGCAGGAATATCTACACTCTACATTGCTGTCCAAGAAAAGTTACCAGAGTTTCTCCTTATTGCATACCAAGAGTGGTTGCACAGGAAGTCCAGAAGAGATGCACTGTCCATATTTTCAAAATGGTTGCAGAAGCAAGTTGTTTATTGTATGGACGTCAAAGAAGTGAAGGAGAGAACAACCAAAAAGAAAAAAATGATAATATAGAGTCAAAGAAACACAAGCCTGAGAAAGGAGCAGTTCACAATGTTACTAGAGAGCCTGCACCCAAGTGTGTTGTCTACCATGGACCTCACCAAGTAACCTCATGCAAAAACTGGGGTGAAACATCCATTGCGAATAGATAGGAAATTGTGAGAAAGAATGAACTTTGTTGTCATTGTTTAATATCAGGCCATCAAAGGAAGAATTGTCCAGAAAACAATTGCTGTGGTATCAACAATTGTAGAGGCACCCATCCCTTCTATCTGCCCTCTAGACGTTGACCTAATCCACCTGAATATATGAACACTGCAGCAGAAACACGAAGCACTTTTGGTGACCCTGAGTTTGCAGGGGAAGTTGTATTGCAGACAGTTCCCGTTTGGCTTATGGGCTCAGAAGGTCAAAGCGTCCTAGTCAACCATGGGTCAGATTCAACTTAAAGAATATGTCCGAGATGACATCGCAACAGCCCTTGGCCTTGAGACTGATAATTCCTCTAAAAAGCGAGAAAGTATCACTGACGATGAAGAGCCTTGACACTGGCATGAGCATGGACACTCAATGAAATGTGTCAAGGCTTGTCTATCCCAGACTGGAATCAACACAAGGTCAAATGGGATCACCTTAAGAACATTCCATTTTCTAAAGCCCCTGGAAGGAAAACGAATGACACTCTGATTGGATCAGACCAACTTGAACATACACTAGCTTTAACAGCGTGTTAGGGGCCAATCAGAGCACCAGTAGTGAGGAAAACACCACTGGGGTGGACCTGTGTTGGACGTTTACCAGCCCTTTTTCTTTCAGCTAAAAGGATTATATACGCCAGAACCTTTTGAATCCAGACGTCATACAAGTCACATCTTGATGAGCAAATTATCAAGAGAAATGTGGGAGTTGGACTCTCTTGGAGTTAGAAGTTCAGACAACAATCAGTTGAACCAGGAGGAGATCTTAGCTGTGTCAAATGTTGAAAAGTCAAGACGATGGATCGAGGGCCATTACAAAGTAGTCATTCTGTGGGAGAAAGAGTTCTCATTATCTGACTGCAGAGAAGAAGCAGAGACGTTTGTTCTCTTTAAAAAAAAACCTCCTGAAGAAGCCAAACCTATGAGAGCATTGGCCTCTGGGTTGAATTCAAGAGGTATTTCCTGGTCCTGATGGGAAGATCAGAGTTGTGCGTGTTAGGACAGACAGAAGGATTACGTTCGGCCAATCACAAAGTTGTGTCCACTGGAATTAAGAGAAGTACAGAAGGAACAGAACACAGTCCGGTTTGAGGGGGACGAAGTTCCCATGAACATTCTTTAACTCTAATGCCGTCCATTGGGACGTCAGAACAAAAGACTCAATTGTGAACTATTCTGTTTGAATGCATGCTTATATTTTTGCCTTCATTACTTAATATTCTATCGGTCATGTCAATCTCAGTTTTTGTTGAGTTGTAATGTAGAATTCAGACTCAAGTATTTTGTTTCATAGCTAAAATAGTAATTCATAAGATTTAGTATCGTCGAAACAATAATTATTGGATTAGCTAAAATTAAAGTAGATACCAAAACAATATGAATCTGGGGCTTAATTATCTCTCTTGCCAAATTGTGAATAAATTTAGCTAGCAAAGAGAGTAAAATAAATGTATTGTGTTACTGATCTTGTACACAATAGCTGCCACACTGCCATCAAGCAAAAAAAGATACCTGTCATACGTGTATACTCTTGAAGTCTAACAAATTATTACTTCTTATTGTGTTTCAAGTAATATATCAAAAACGAAAGACAGTGTTTGACCACATTTCCAAACACTGAGAGGAGAGTTGAAAATATGACGCATAGCAGAGTATTTTTCACGAACTTCGCCGTGTTTGGAAATGTAGTCAAACATTGTCTCGAGTGCTTGATATATCTTCTCAATTGAAACTAAAACTAAGGAGAAAACAGAGAATTAAAACCCTAAAAATCTATGCTAATTAAGACCAGATATACAAATACTGTCACGGTTGTTTAAACTTGATGGATTATTAATGAGTTTGAGAATATGGCATCATTGTAAAGTAAAACTTGTTTAATTCAAATGCAATATTCAAAGATGACTCTATTAAACGTGTGATTTTGGAAAATCATAAAGGATATTGTGCATGTAGTAGGATTGAATGCCAAACCTCACCTCTCTTGAAATAATTTTTGCTGTAGGAAGGTCACAGATGTCAGAAAGTGCCACCCAGTCACCAAATGATGACATCCTATCTGCTCCTCTGGCTCTGGCATAAGCTGTGGCCAACGGTGTCAAACTATCAATCATATCCTCCACCATACAAAGTTTGGCCTCTTCCACAGTAAGTGGAACACCTACAGCTGCCCCAGCAGGACTCACATGTTTAAAGGATGCTGCAGCTGGCAAGTTAAGGGATTGGCGTAACTCCTATCAAATAAATCATCAAAACAAATATTTAACATTAACTCAATTGCTACCTCATACCGTAATTTATTTACTGGTTGTAAATTTTGACTTAAATGCGAGGTTAAACTAAGCTAGAAATGATGGGTTTCCATACAGATATTGGTTTTTGCCGGATTGTAGGTTGTCCCGGGAGGTTGTTGACAACACACAGCAATCAAGGCCGCATTTATACTAAGTTAAAAATACATCAACGGACAGCACAATTTTCGCCGAAAATGCTGCCATCAATACAACTTAAATGCTGTACTATTTAATTTCTTGACATATGCGACATTTTAGGAATTAATATTCAGGACAACTTTTTGCGCTACAATTTATCAATGGGCTTTTATTACGGGAAACGGTTTGACAACTAATACCTTCTTTGCCGTATTTTGGTAAGTAAAGGGGAACACAAACGCTTCATTCTGAATGTTAGCTTTTGATTTGCTGTCGACAGACTTTTTAAGTTCACAATCATACTGATCGGTTTTATTTTGTACTAAAGAAGTTGTACTTCTACTCATTGAGTTCCAATTTTAGTGACCTGTCTTCATCCTACATCCTGATTGGTTGGTAAATACTTATTCAGTACCGTGAAGTCAACTTAAGGTTACTTCAAACCTTCGCAGGAGTCTTCCAGAAAAAAATTCGTATACGCGCTGTTTTCAACAAAACCCCCACAAACTATATATCAACAGAAAGGTTATAAAATGTAGAATTCGATAAAATTATGTTTTGTTTTGGATTTTGCTTTCCAAAAGCGGCAGAGGCCGTCAACTCCAAAATGACCGATTGACGTTCCAGCAAATTAATCGGGTATCAAATGCAATCGTTCATGCAAAATAACTGTGCAGTGTTAATCATAAAGCCTCAATCTCCAAAAACGTGTGAGCATTTTCTTTTATTTCTATTGGTTATCTTTTTACAGATCTGTCAAGTTCGACTATCAAAAAATTCACATAACCTGTTACGTTAAAGGCCGCCACGAGGAAAATATTTAAAATAAAGGAATTCACCGACATGCTTTTGTTCCATATCTATCAGTGAATGTTCTGACCAAATTTCATGGAAAACCGTCAAATATGCATACCCTATTAATTCATTTAAAGAGAAGGGATTCTCTCGAAAAACAAGAAGGAGTTTTCGCCTTCTAAAGATTTATAAACATATCACACCCTCACAGAGATGTGTCAACTTGAAAGCCACAAGTCAATGAAATAACAGAACCCCTAGCATTCACAGTATGCAAACTTGTGCTTCATGGACATTAATTTTCTTGACCAAAAAAAATCAACCAATATAGCCCACAAAGGTTTGAAGTAACCTTAATGAGTTAGCGATCTGTGATTGGCTTATTGTATACTTATTAGTTCATTCCAGATTCTTTTCGTGTGTTCCGGAATAGTTTTAGCCTGTGTTCCCTGTACTCATCAATGTCAAATACAGTAAAACCCCACAATATCTTTGTCATGTTTAGTTGAAACACACACACATAATTAAAATAATATTATCGTGATAATAATTTGCCACAAAACATAAATTCTTGTCAACACTCCCTTTCCCCCCTTAAAACTAAAATTAAAATTAAAATGCATTCACATGTCTCTTCAAGGATGCACAAGAGTGGGAAGGGCAGAATGTGAAAAAGCCTGAAGTGCTTTGACAATTATGATATCATTTGTCAGATACCTTTTAAGTTAAATTTAGTAAGGCCACTTCTATATTAATTTCTTTTACAAAATACTTATGCCAGTGAAAATTGAAGTCAAAAAGTTCCCATTCCACAGCATTTTTATAAGAAAAATAAGAGGAAAACTTGACGGGAGGTTTGAATATTAATGCTCTTTTTATTAGCATCGACAGTTTTCCTCTCATTAAAGTCCTTGGTGGCTTACATAAATGTAATTTTTCTTAACCATTAGAGACTGGGTCAGCTTGATAGGGAGAGACTTGATGTGAGTTGTAGGCAGCAGCATCCACGTGTCATGCCACTAAGACTTCATGGTGCAGGTGATGTGTTTAGCAGAGAAAGGGTGACAAAGGAATTTGTCAACAACAGTATAGTCTTCAGCTATGTTGTTGTCATTCTGTGGGAAACAGAGCTAAGGGGCATTTTCTTTCTAAAGAGTCCATTGTTTTAACAAATTGGAATTTGACATTGCACAGCTCGTTAAGCTGATAAGATTTTCCCTTACACTTTTAGTAAGCTACACAAGCTTTCAGAAACTGTTTATGCTCATAGTATAGTGTTACTTTATGTGTCGGAAAAAGGTGGAATTTCAACTCAGATCAGTTACTAAACAATGTGTAAGGGCATGAACTAAGCTCAATGTGCTACGCAATTCTATAGAAGAAAAAAAACTGTCAGATTTAAGCTTACACAACTTCTGATTGCTGCACAATTGTGTTACAAGCACGTTGCTGGCTTCTCTACCTTCTTCATAGATATCACTTGACCATGAACTGTTTCCCAAACAAACAAATAAATGGCAGCCTGTGAATTTGTACCAGTGAGAACTACACTTTGACATGTATGCATTCCACATTATTATTTATTCAGCATGTAATTTATTAGCAGAGTGCTTTTTGGTGCAGAGTGCATTGTTGGGATGGTTTAGGGGGCTGTCATCTACTAAACCGCTAATGTGTGCGCAAATTACAGTGTACTTGTCTGCTAACAAACTCATAGTAATCAGATTTGACCAAATATATTTATTGAATTATTGATAGAATCCTTTTTTTTGGATTGGCCAAGGCAAAACCACGGCAAACGGGCAAATACTTTAAGTCGGTACTGAAAGGATTTTTTGCAACCACACATTATCGTTATCACTATAACACAAACATGAGCATGCAAGGCGTGCAAGAGTTATTTCTTTTTGTGAAGTGTCGGAGATAGGTGCATTCATGTAGCTGTTTACAGTAATGATTTGGTTAATTTGACAAGTGTTTTTGGTTGTGATGTACAGCAAGAAAGAAACNGAAAATATCTCATTCCATTTGCATACTACTGACTCACGAACTGTTTCAAACCTCAAGGCTCATCTCATTCATATCTAAAATCCTCAGCCTAACCCACAGAAAATGTCCAAGTAAACCCCTATATCTGAATACTTCCTCCTCTTTTATAGAAGAATAAATATGGCCATTCTGAACTCTATTGGGATCAAATCTTCTCACATACCATTTACCTTTACATCAAGAAATTTGATTGGCTGTTTATAGTAGATCCAATCTGATTGGTGTGAAATACATCTCTCACTCACTCACTCACTCATCCATTGACCTGTCCATAACATACTCAACATGCCGACTAAGAGGTTTTTTTTACAAAAAAATAACTCAATAAAAATAAGTTGTCTTCTATTTGTAAATTATGTTACTTGCAAACTAACCCTGACAAGTTGCCACGAATTAAAAGCATCACAGAGGTTGATAAACCCTGGGGATCCATTCAGGACATTGACTGGAAGCTTGGGTTCTGTTGTGAAAAGCTGGGCTGGTTTTTGATGAGGATTCATACCATAACGAAGAGGAATGTGTGATACTCCATGACTGTACTGTTTCCTGAAGTAATCTGAAATGGCTTCATCATACTTTGCTGTATGACTGAAGGCCTTAAAGAGAAAAAGATAACTTATTGGCATTGTTGAAGTAACTGAATTCAAATTACAGATAAAACACAGGAAACACTTCTTTTTGTACATGCATGTGTAAAAGAAGCATTGATAGAATGCAGCATAAAACTACTAGTTATTCGCAGTTTTACAACTTGGTCTTTACCCCTGTTTTCACTGCTATGAGACCTTTGAAATCAAAATACTCTTAGCAAATTCTTTAGTAAGATTGAAAGTACAGATTTTCATTTTGCGAAGTACAGATTTTCATTTCGCAAAGTACAGATTTCGTTTCATTTCGTTTTGCAAAGTACCATTTTGCAAAGTACAATAAGCCTGCCGTTCCCGACATTTTTGCCCTGATTGTGGAATCATTTCTCTAGACCAGTATTCTCTTTAAGGTAACTGCTGTTTGACTGAAGGAAGTCTATTGTAAAGAAGGTTGCGTAGCAGTGAAAACAGTGGCTTTTTACTGCAATAGCTTGAGATCAAACAATGAATTTTCTCAAAAGAAATGGACTCTAGCTAGGCTCTTAACCAGAATTACAAACGTAAGAGTTCTTTTTCCTCACCTTCAATGCAAGCATTTTTCTTGTGTCTAGTAAGGTATCATGGTTTGCATTGGAGGTCATTTCATGCACTACTCTGTGGACCAAATGGGACAGTGAGAATTGTAAAAATGTTTGATTATACTGTAGTCTACTGGCCATTGGCTTGTAATTACTGGTGTACTGATACTTGACTGCAATCAAAATCTGATAAAAACCATTAACACATGCAACATACCATGCTTTATCCTTCACTCCATTCTTTGTAATTCATATAGTTAGTAGGTCCTTAATTACATTAAGGGTCCCCAATTAGTAGAGGGGTGTTTCCTTTCAGCTAAATTTTTTTTTTGGCACATGTATGTATGTATGTATGTATGTATGTATGCAATCATGGTTTAATGTGGTAGTAAGTAAATGAAACAAATATTCTATTTGCAGTTTTACTAACCAAAACAATACAGCAAGAAGTGACAAAAGGCAGTAGTACACTTCATTATTATCTTTCAGTTACCATGGAGTTGTGATTAGTCAATTTAGTGGGCCATACTCACTGGACAGCCTGCTAAAATTTGAAGCTGTTTTTGTTGTTGAGATGTTTCGTGATTCATCGCCAAGTGATCTCAACTTTCATTTCAAGTAAAATTTAAAAACTTTCTTTCACTTTAAATTGCATATTGAAATGTGTTAACAACTTAACAACGATTTCAAATTGACTCGTTTTGCTTTTGATGTGCGTCTGCTTGAATAAAAATCATTCCAGAACCAGTCAGACACACAGTAAAGATATAACAAAATATCTTACTAACCTTGTCTTCTGGGTCCATACTGTTAGATACAGATCCTCATTTTTCCCTTTTGATCTATGGCCTGTGAGCTTCACACTTGGGCCATAAATCGAAGGAGAAAAAACTCAGTCCATAACTAACAGTACAGACCTTGAACTCGGTTAGTACGAGGTATGTAAAAGTGTAACAGCACTGAGTAACATAACAAGCTAAAAACCCTGTAAGAACAATGATAAGCTAAGAGATCTAGACAAGAAAAAGATCTAAATGTAGCTATACATGTGCTAAATTACCAGTTTAGAGCACCAGACTCTCTCACATTCGGTTCACAAACAGAATCAAAAAGTGGTATTTTATTACATTAGAAACTGTCCTTGGAACTGTCAAAGCAGGAAATTTTGAAATAATTCAAATGAAAAAACTAAACCCTATTCAACTCTAGTTGCACAAGGAAAGGAAAAATTAAAACTATTTTCCCTTAGAAGTGATGTGGAAAACAGAGGCCTGAGAGCATGGCATTTAGAAACAGGCATTAAAACACAACTAATCCTGTATTGGAGGGAGGCATGCCCCCAGAACCCCCTAGCGCAATGAGGCCTTTGGCCCCATATTTGTTCATGGACAGCCACTCAATAAAATTCATATTTCCCTAAACATCCAATGAAAACTGCAATACAGAGCCATTTTAGGCAACAGCAATATATATATATTTACATGTACCATTTTCAACACTGATACTTGGTTATGTTTCAACCTTTAAGGCAAGCACTCAGCCAGCCTTCTCAAAATGGGCCAGCAGCCAGCTCAACAAACCGCCTCCTCTGGGAATTTGACCGTCTCCTTGCCGTCAGAAAATGTGTTATTTTTACTAACAACAAGGAGAAAAGAAAAAAGAAAAAAAAGAAAACAGAAAGAACTTTTAAGCCCGAAAGGAAAGTCCCCAAACATTATTCAAAAGGGTTAAAAGCGCTTGTTTAGCCTGCATATTTACATCCATTATTTTAAACACAAACATTCTGATCTTTCTTCGATCTTCGATAAAGAAAGTGGAAGTATTCATCGCTTCAACAAGACTTCAAATCGAGTCAGCGAGACTTCAAATCAGATAAAGCCATGTCAATTTCACATCAAGCACTGCTCACAGTCAGAAAGTAATTTATCTGGGTTTTACTGTGTCATTTACAGTTGTGTCGTGCAACGGGAGGAGAGTATTTTAAAGCATTAAAAACTTATGGCAGAGAATCGAAAACGAAAACCCGCACCCGGTTCATGGATAACTTCCTACTTTGCCAAAGAGCAAAGGAAGGATGGTAAGTACTTCTTTCAGTAGAATAATACAGCAATCTTTCGCACCGATTTTGCACCTGCTGGTGGTAGCGAATGAATAAATTAGTTGTATAAAATAGAAATGGTTGTTAAAAATGTTAAAATGTACACTATATATCTTAACATAATCAGAGCCATCTTTAACACAAACAGCAAATGGCATCTGGACTTTACAAAAGGCTCAGCGAAGCGTTTATTTTTGTTTTTAGTGTCTCTTTTTTGAAATTAATGCTTTGCTGAATTTTTCACTTGATTAAACTCGTGGGAATTGCAGCGCAACACTGTCTCAGAAAGATTGTTTTGTTTATTTGACCACCCGGATTTGCGTTTCTCTATGGATTTATAAATGAAACTCCGCTTGTTCAAACACTGAAATAATCCTTTAAAACATTAACACAATGTACATAACAAGTTTGGAAAATAAAAAGAGCAACTTCTTGAGACACTCACGTGAAGTCATGAACCAAAGAGTCAAAAATATTGCAAACAAAATTAAACAGCCGTTATAATTTAATTAGAATGAACAGTATTGCATAACATGATATTGATATAACACGTAAAAAGTGGTTTCAAGATATCTGAAAAGGTTTTTATTGTTTCTAAATTCCCAAAACCTTGCAAAAGGTTTCACCAGTAAAAAACAGGTCGGGTCACGTGCACACGACTACAGTCTTCAGTGTAATTTCCCCAACCCTCAAACAATGCATTAAAATGACTGTGAAATAAAGGCCACGCGGCAATACAATAGTTGAGGATTTAGGGCGACCTGGGCGACTCACCTCCTTTGTCAAAAACAAACAAACAAACTTTGTCAAAACAAACCTGTGTCAAAAATTGCGCCTGCATGAATTTGCAAATGACGGCAATCTATGCAATTTACATTCTGGCAACAAATAACTCATTAATAACTGGAAGTAATATATTTCAATGATGATTTTTTTAATCACATTCAATCCATGCTCCGCATTTCACGGCTATTTAATTACTATAAAGACAAGAAAGAAAAAGACACAATTTCAATGAAAATATACATCAATCTGGTCTTAGGCGATGAACAAAGAAGGGATGGCAATAACGTTACTGCAGGTGCTTCCACCACCCAGCAAGTAGAAAGCTGAACAGGCATGGGAGATGATTCACCAGTTTCCACCCCTCATCAGATGCCCTTTAGTTCTACACCAAGTTCATCCACCCAAGCTAAATCAGTGGCCTCACAACCTTCTTGTTCAAGTGAAGTTCTCTTGAGTGCAAAAGAATGTCAAGATCTAATAGGTCAGTTCTTTGGTACTGACAAAGTTGCAGCTATTACACATAGCACAGCACAGCACAGCTATTACACATGTCCTTCCAAACTGTGCAGTAGCTTAAGAGAGGAAGAGATAGCAAGACTTTAGCAACAGAAGAAGAAGTACATTCATACTTGGCACCAAGAGAAGGAAAATTGGTGGCTTTGTTTTGTAGAGAGTGAAGGGATTTTCTACCTATTATGCAAGAAGCATGCACTAAAAACAGTGTAAAATAAAGAAGAATCAGCCTTCACTCAAACAGCAAGTATGAGATTAAAGTATGACGCCCTTAAGGTACATCGTGATTCTGATCGGCATCATAAAGCAGTCAGTCAAGAGCTCTTACAGCACATGTCTGTATTCCACAAAGAAGTGGTGGAAAGAAAAGAAATTGCCAAAGACATCTTGGAGAGAGCTTTTTCAGTTGCTTACTTTCTGGCAAAGGAGCACTTTGCAAACAGAAAGTTTCTCAACTTGATCAAATTTGCTGTGGATTCCCTTGACATGAATCAACTCAAGTACTTCAGCCACAGGTCTGAAGGATCAATCCGAGAAATCTTCCTCATCTTGGGAGAAACAATCAAGGAAGAAATAGTTACCAGTGTACAGAAGGTCCAAAGTTATGGACTCATGGTGGATGAGGTAACCGACATCTCCGTCCAATGTCAAATGCTTACATTCATCCAGTTTGTAAGCCCTGTCACATCTGTCGCATTTTCAAGCGCTAATGCTGATGCCCTGACATTCCTTATCAAGGATGAGTTGGTACAGCAGTGTGGTTTAAGTCTTAAAAATCTGAAAGGCCTCGCAACAGATGGGGCTGCAGTGATGATTGGCAAAAAGAATGGTGTAGCAGCACAGCTTAAAGAGCTAAACCCAGTCATTATCAATGTTCACTGTATTTGTCACAAATTGGCCTTAGCTTGCACTGATACTAACAAGGAGATTGCCTACATCAAGTGAGTGGAGGACACACTGCGTCAACTCTGGACATATTTTGAGAACTCACCAAAACGCCTAGCAGTTCTGTTGAAGATGCAAATTAACATCAAGAAATGCAGCTTACAGCTAAGAGAGAAGAGTAAACAGATCCTTGTAACGAGGATGAAGAAGGCTTGTTCCACAACGTGGCTGAGTTTTGACAAGTCTGTTGCTGCCCTGTATCAAGAATACAAGGCTGTCCTTCATACCCTTCAAGTTTTGGATGAAGGCGGCTGTGCTACAGCTCATGGCCTGCTCAAGAGGCTGAAAAAGGGAAAATTTGTTGGAGTGCTCTTCATTTTGAAAGATGTCCTGCCAGTCCTGTCCAATCTGTCAAAGGCATTTCAAGGTGGATCAGCGGCCTTCTCTCAAATTGTTCCCCTGATTAATGAAACCAAAGCCAGTCTTGAGGAGCTACTGGAAACCAACTCTCCATTGCAGAAGTTTTTAGCTGCTCTTGATTCATATACCAACATCTGCGAAGATCTCAAGGTGTCTACTGCACAGCAACAACAGCTGCACCGCTTACAGGAGCAATATATCCCAGTATGATTGCAAATGTTGAAGCTCGATTTGCTAGCAGTTCTCCTCTACTTACAGCACTCAAGATTTTTGACCCTTTGGCTGTGCCAGAAAGCAGTGAGTTGGGTTTCAATGTCTATGGGAACAGGGAGATTTCTACTCTTGCTCAGCACTTTTACCAGGGTGATGATGAT